GAGAGAGAGAGAGAGAGAGAGAGAGAGAGAGCGAGAGAGAGAATGCAAAAAATAAATAATTATATAATAAATAATCTAAAAATGAATTACAATAATTATGTTTTTGGATATATACTGTATGCATAAACAATATTTAAGATATTTAAAAAGCAATTATTTTAAAATTGACATATTTAAAATGTTTTTGTATATATAAAAGGATGCATATTATTTTAATAAAAAATATATATTAATAGACTGCATATAATTATATGCACTAAGTATCAAAAATATAAAAACAATATAAAAAGTAATATATTATTTTTTTAATAATTACGTATGCATGTATAAAATAAGGTACATATTTTTGCTTATTAAATTTGTATACATTTTAATAAATTGTATGCATTTAATTTATTTGAATACATTTAAAATATAAAATTAAAAACTAGTTCTGAGCGAATACCCCTTAAGGTTGTTCATGTTGAATGAGAGAGTGAGGAGTCTTTTGTAGGTGGTTTTTGTGGGATCTGGCTGTAGCCGCTGACCTGACCCTTGGCTCAATGGGACAGTGGGTCAGTGGTCTGGGCAGCACTGCAGGGAATCCCTTACACACATAAAGAGTGTGACCCTGCCTGAACTATGTCTTCAACTCTCACTCGAGATCCTTCCAATTCATTCACCCGAACTCTCCAGGCGCATCTGTCCAGTGCAGCCCATATGTCCATCAATCACTGCTTATTAAATCTCCACAAAAGCTGGTGGGTGCTACAATTTGTTTCCTCTTTTGTCTTGGCAGCTCAGCTGAGCATCATTTCCCCTCCTGTTTTCCATAACCTCCCACACCTATATCCAGCACTAGGACAGAGACGGAGCTCTGGAGAGTTCACACTGATTCACCTCCAGCAGGAAATCCGGGAGGGATCAGGCCGGGAAGAGGAGGGATCGTGGCCCTATCACTTACACTGCACATCTACGCGAATGGACTTGATGGCAGCCACCCCCACCCCGTTCTCAGCTTTGCAGTAGTAGCGGCCGCCCTGCACTCTCTGGATGTTGGGGATCCGTAGAGTCTCATTGAAGATGGACGTCTCCTGGAACTTGTCGGAAGCGCTGCCTGCTGTCTTGGTCCACCGCACCTGCAGGGGGCAACATTTAGAGACTCATGAGCTAATAATAAAAATGCAAAATAATTTCATTTCAGCACATGTTTTACGTTTAGATATTTCAATCAATCAATCAATGATTCAGATGTTGAATTAAAAGAATCACTTAGCATTTGGTCTCTCTTTTGCTTATATTTGATTGTGACCAAGAAAATGTGAAACATCTAAATAATCATGTTGTCAAAATTTTAAAACTGAAACTGAAAAAAAAAAAAAAAAGTTGCAGATTTTCAATGAGGTCTCTGACTTTCCTGTATTTGTATATTTAGATCAATAAAAAGAGCCATGTCTTAAAAAATTAAGAAATTAAATTGTAATGATTAAGAAATATAAATGTATTTTTTTAACATTGAAATATTTTAACTAATTTTCTATGTTAAAGTAACAAAATCAAAGCTTGGAATATAAACATCAAAATAAGAAAACGTCATAATATAAATCTATAGTCCATGAAAAGATACGTCTTAAAAAATGATTAAATCTCAGTTATTAAGTAAATGCATTTTTATATTAAACTATTGATTAAACATATATGTTAAAATTATAAAATATAAACATATGAGGAAAAGTCACAGAATCTCAGACTTAATATGTGCATACACACCCACTGATACATCTATAAATAATAATCATGTAAATGCAAAAAGATTTAATTTATTTTCTCCTACAAAGTAATAACTGAATGTAGAGTTAAAAGTGCAAAAAAATGTACAGAGAAGTATAAAAAGTCCGGTCACAAAGATGATCAAGATCAGTGGGACTCAACAAGTTTAGCGTTCAGACTATCTGTAATCAGAGTCTCATCCATCTCAATCATTCTTTTGAACAATCTTTGCATTGAGTATGTAAGGTCAAGTGAAAATCACAAACTAAAGCCTGTGTAATCTCCTACACTTCTCCACCTCTGGACATCAGTAAGCTGCTTGCATTATAACCCGGGGTCACCTCTGAACAGGGTGAGCAGCCGATTGTAGTTGGACGTACGTGGAAAGGATTATGGGATTACACCGACCTGTGTAAACGACAAGCTTTGTGTTTATTCAGGTTTATTTGCCTGTGGATTTGGGACACAGCTGCTGTTCATTTATCAGGTGTGGTGGGTGAGAAATTAACACAGAGGAAGGGAGAGAGAGCCTCTGCTGGGAGTAACCTATCCTCTCGGTGGAAAAGGACAGAAAAGCTGGTCAAAAGATGTTTGATGGGGCAAAATCATTAAAAAGTTGTGCCACTTTCTTGTGTAGATTGTAGCATATAGTCCTGCTCAAGCTACAACTCAGAACCGACCCACAAAGTGAGGAACTGCTCTTACAACTTGTGGTGTGTCATTAAAGTTTACACCCCTGGATCTTGATGCATCGTTTTTTTCTATCTGGAGCATCAGTGAGCGTTTGAACCTTTTGTAATAGTTGTGTATGAATCCCTCAGTTGCCCTCAGTGTGAAAAGATGGATCTCAAAATCATACAGTCGTTGTTGGAAAGGGTTCAAATACACAAAATATGCTGTTTGTGGGAGCTGAAGGATTTTCTGAAGAACAGCGGGCAACAGTTCAGGACAAACAAGGGACTCATGAACAACTATCACAAAACAAACAAACAAAAGAATAGCTGTGGATCACCCAGGTAACAACACAGTATTAAGAATCAAGTGTATGTAAACTTTTGAACGGGGTCATAAATTCAAATTCAACTATTATTTTCTCCTGTGGACTATATGTAAATGTCTTTTATGTGAAATATCTTATTCAGGTCAATACTAAATAAAAAAATAACATGCATTTTGTATGATTAACATTAATTCATATTATTACACGGCTCTGTGGAATACTTGATTCTAATTGGTCAATCGCGCCATCCAGCAGTATGTTACTCCCAGATAACAACCGCCAAATTCGGTTGTTAAGTGGTGACGTAAGAAGCGCTGTGTCCGGGTCCAAGCCTCAACTCGCTTCACTTGAGAATACTACCTCAGCTATCGTTGACTGTCTGGTGCCATCTTGTGACTGAAAACACTTAACCACCGCGTGTTACAATGGAAGACTTCAGCATGAATTTCAACATATATGGTAAAAACAACTGTTTATTGTAATTAGTGATACGACTGAACATTATGCCTTAAATGTTCGTATTGTCTGACTTCAAAAGGCTCAAAGCAGTTTGTTAGGAACTGTTTTTCTTCGCGGAAGCTTTGCATAAGAGCTAATTAAATATTTCAACTCAAGTCAATATTTCGTGTCTAATTTACTTGAGACAAGTAGCCGTGTAATAAATTACAAAGAAACATTACAAAGAAACCCCTTCAGGCTGATACAAGACCCCTCCGCTTCGCGTCAGGGTCCTGATCACCCTGTCGGGGTTTATTCTGAGATAACAACCGGCTGGATGTACATTATCCCTTACTTAATAAACACTGTAAAAAATGTTAATTGTTAGTTCAATACACCTATTTTTTTATTTTGCACCTGATTTTCTGAAGTTTTCTAAAGATTTTTGAAGCATGTTTTGAAACAAGAAAATACTACTTTAGTTTTTCTACCACAAAATGTCATGTTTAATTCAATGCGCTAATTGCTGTTTCTTTGTAATTAATTGCGAAATTTACTAGCAATTTCCAAATTCATATACATTTTCCAACACCAATTTTTTTTCAGCGTACCTTAGTTAAAGTTAATTAATTTTAATTCAATTGAACCTTGCTGTAAAGTGTTAGCATATTTTCAATATGTAATATATACAGTATATATACTGAATTATATTATATGTATAATATACACACAAATTTAAAAATATGCTAACACTTTACAATAAGGTTCAATATATATAACATATATAATATTTAATATAACAAATTAACACATCTATATCTATCTATCTATCTATCCATCTATCCATTCTCCAAACTGCTTCTCTGTAGGGTCCATGGACTAATGAAGGCAAAATGATAATTAAAAATATTGGAAAAACTTCTTACAGCTACTGGATACATACATTTTTGTATATATATTTACATACAGTATTTTTTTAACTTTCTATAATGAGAAACGTTGCTACTGTGGGTCACAGCACCCTTTCAATGCAAGTGCAGTAGTGAGCTGAACCTCTGATCCGTGTCATCCCAGAAAGTGTTGATGCCTATATCAGGATCCACCACTGGTTGTGAATTTTCACAAAAAAAAGTCCTGTTTGTTTTCTCAGCAGCCCAAATCTCTGCCATCATCGTGTTGATTCATCGTGGCTCTCAAAGGGCCGGCGCTGGCAGATGTAAGACAGATGGCGCTGGATAGGCTATCATTACAGCGGCCTCAGACGGCTCACTTACAGCAACGCAAAGTCACAGTGGCACAGAAACTTTCAAAGTCTCAGTGATACGAAGAGAAGAGCGTCAGAGACAGAAAGGAGAGGACGGCTGATGGTAACAGACACCGGAATCCTGCAGCTACAGGACACACAACAGCTGTATGCTAGCGTTCTTCATCTGTCTCTACTGCAAAATCAGGCTCACAATATGCTCTGATATGCTTTCTGAATCCCATCTTTCCATTTTGATAAAAATTAATTTGGTTCTGTTTGCTCAGACCAAGGGCAGGGTTATCATCATTAACTAAAACCAAAAGTAAAACCACAATCAATCAATCAATAAAATTTCATTACTTATATTTCAATACAATTAATATGAACTAAAATAAAATATTTTAAAAACTTCTTTATTTGATTTCAGCTAGTTTCCAAGGCAACATTTCTCATTTTCTTAAAGTTTAACTTGAAGTACTAAAATAACTCAAACTAAATTATTTAAAATTAATAAAAAACCTATACAGACATACTTCATTAATAATAATAATAATAATAAATGACAAAAATTACTAAAACTTTAATTACTCAAAAATTAAAATGAAAACTACAAAATAGAGAAATAAAATCGAATTCAAAATATTAACAAAAGCTATAGTATGCTACGATATATATCAATGAGACTACAACACTGACCAAGGGACAGTCATAGTCATAACTAAATCATCTTTCTACACTGATGGTCATTCAAAATAAGCTATGTGTTTTGTAGTAACTAAATATCTGCAAACAAATAATCCATTATAGCTGATTTTATTATAGTAATTTTACTCACAAAGCTGACAAAAAGGTCCATAATGAAGCTGCAACAGGCAGCAAAATGAGGAATTTTAGTTTTTAGCTTTAATTATGACATTCAATAAAGGTCAACATAAATGAGGAGAAAACATAATATAGAGCAATTAGGATTCAATTTCTCATTGTACTCCAAACAAAACTCTTAAAAACAAAGGGGTTTTGCAGCAATGCCACAGAACCATTATTTTGGGTTCTCGAAAAGCAGTGGTTCCCAACCCTGGTCCTGGAGGCACCCCAACACTGCACATTTTGCATGTCTCCTTTCTCTGCCGCACAAATTTCAGGTCTTGAAGTCTCTACTAATGAGCTGATGACCTGAATCAGGTGTGTTTGATTAAGGAGACATGCAAAACGTGCAGTGTTGGGGTGCCTCCAGGACCAGGGTTGGGAACCATTGCTCTAAAGAAGCTTTATATGAAAATGAACCATTTTTTATTAGTGTGAAGAACGTTTTCATAATCAAAAGAACCTTTTTTCACTATTAAGAACTTTTTGTGGAATGGAAAGGTTTCATGGATGTTAAAGGTTCTTCATGGAACCATAAATGCCAATGAAGAACCTTTATTTTTTTTTTAAGATTGAGGTCATTTTCTCTGTAATTTTTACCTAGGTTGTGTGAGGAAAAATAGTTTCATGCTGAACTGAAATCATAAAGTACATTTACCTGACGTCCTCAGGGAAAGCTTCTCGCGTCTGAAGAGAACTTTTATCATCCCACTCCCATTTTTCCAAACCCTCTCTCTCTCGCTCCGGTTCAGGTTTTCTCTTCCCGCCTATCCTATAACTGCCTCTATAAATTAAGTTCTCTGCGAGTGACACCAATTTAA